ACCTGAAGGTGTACTTTGGTAATTGCTATTGGAACTGGTTGCTGAGTACTACTAGGTGTGCCGAGTTTGGGCTCGTTTTGTTAGGTATGACGAGCCCTTCCCTCCGGACTTGACGGAGTGACCTGAAGGTGTACTTTGGTAATCGGTATTGGAACTGGTCGCCGAGTTTTACTGGGTGTGCCGAGTTTGGGCTCGTTTTATTAGGTATGAAGAGCCCTTCCCTCCGGACTTGACGGAGTGACCTGAAGGTGTACTTTGGTAATCGGTATTGGAACTGGTCGCCGAGTACTACGGGGTGTGCCGAGTTTGGGCTCGTTTTGTTAGGTATGACGAGCCCTTAGGTCGGGTTACAATGCCGATTACCAAAGTACACCTTCAGGTCACTCCGTCAAGTCCGGAGGTAAGGACTCGTCATATCAAACAAAACGAGCCCAAACTCGGCGCACCTAGTAGTACTCGACGACCTGTTCCAATGCCGATTAGTACACCTTCAGGTCACTCCGTCAAGTCCGGAGGTAAGGTAATGGTTAAGAGTGTTAGGGTCTATATTCGTATAGCAAGTGACTCGTAAAAGAAACTACGTGTTAATGTTATGACCGTTTACTTGAGACTAAAATTCACGAAATGCACACTATGCAGTTAATGTCACCTTGCGACCTTGACATACCGGCAGCCAAAAACAACTGTTTTTAAATACATTGTGTATACAAAAAAACAATCTTAGTTCATAAACATGGAAATAACTTATAAGCATTACAAAATTATTCAACCACCTAAGCAGTAGGTATACATAGTTGGTTTTACAATTCATAATAGTATACACAGTTAAAAAAAAACATAACCTTACTTACAGGAATTATTGAATAGGCATAAAGTAATGAACTAAATTCAAAAATTCTTAAATAACTATTTTTTTTAAACAATTAGTTCACAACTATACGTAGCTAATGTTACATAATATTATGTCTAGTGGACTGTATAATATTTTTTAATCAGTTATTCAGGACTATGCTTAACAAACTATAAACAAATGTATTTTTTTAACAAATTCTAATGTGTAAATAACAAATTTTTACTGTAGTAACTCCATTTAATTAACATAATGTATTGCTTATCGTGTGTATATAAACAAAGGTTAAATTTTACATGTAAATACGAGTAAGTATAAAATATCTGAATTAGTTGATCAACATTTTTAGTTCTCAAGTTTGATAGGAAGTAAAATTAGTTTTGAAAGGGGTCGCTTCATCACAACATTTCCCTTGCAACTTACAGAAACAACACGAATCAATGTGTCTGAACCTGGGTGTAAGGTGATTATTTTTCCTAAAAGCCACTTACATGGAGGCAGATCCTCTTCCTTTATTATGACTATGTCCCCAATGGATGGGGATTGTACAACTCCTTGCCACTTATATCTTTCTTGTAAGGTTTGTAAATAATCTGCTTGCCATCTTTTCCAAAAATCTTGAACTCTGTTTTGAATGAACTGCCATCGCGTCAACAGATTAACGTTTTTATTGACATAATATCGTTTTCAGGAAGACCAATTAGTGGCTCACCGATCAGAAAATGTCCTGGTGTTAATGGGTCAAGGGTTTCTAGCGTATCTTCCATTTAACATAGAGGTCGCGAATTGAGGAATGCTTCAATTTGAGCCAGTAATGTCGTCATCTCCTCGTAAGTCAACCTAATTGCACCACTTATTCTAGATAGATGTTGTTTAGCGGATTTCGCACCGGCCTCCCATAAACCACCGAAATTTGGAGCCTTTGGTGGTATAAAGTGCCACGTGGTGCCGTCGTTGGCTAAAAGTTCAGCTATTTCCTTAGCCATGTTGTTCTTACCAATTTCAAACATATGTTTCAGTTCTCTTGCAACGCCTACAAAATTAGTGCCATTGTCACTGCACAAATGTGAACAATGGCCTCGTCTAGCAACAAATCTTCGAAAGGCTGCAATAAATTCTTGCGAAGTAAGGTCGGTGACACATTCCAAATGTATTGCCTTAGTCGACATTAGTGATGTAACTAATGTTGGATTTTTCACATTCGCGAATGCGATTGCGAATATTTATCTTCAACATTCGCGAATGCGAATGCGAATATTTCAAAATTTCAAAAAAAGCGCGCGTAAAATGTTTGACAGGTTTGACGTTTCGTGTCGGCCATGTTTAAATTGAACATAGCCGAGCCGATATTGGTTAATTGAATGAATTTAGTTACAGAAAGTTTTTTTTTGCGCCCGAACCAAATAAAGGGCTACCCTATACGTAGGGAGGCGGAAAATGCATTACGCATACCACGATAGCCGGTCTATCGTGGTTATGAGCGACTCACATCCTACCGGGGACCTAAGTGATACCCTCTAAAAACCGCCTTTAGGGACAGGCAACTGGCTGATTAAGCTTTATTGTGCCTTATCGTGAGCGACCCTCTTTTGGGAAAAGAGGGCGCAGGCGGCTACGAGCCGCTGAGGGAGTGCCTACGAAGGCAAATTAATTATGAGTGAGTAATAATTTAATTTAATTAGAGTTAGACTGAGCCGCCAGGAGGCAGTTCAGGTCGTTTGTTAGTTTATTAGGCGGGTCCGAGAGAGAGTTTCTCGGCCTGCGGACTCGATAGCGAGAGGGGGGTGGGGCTGCATAAGTAGCTGCCTCACGAATTAACCTTTTGAGCGCCAAAGTCGTCTATACGTGACCAGCACCCGCGTGCCCTGAGCGCCAACGACGTCTATAGATGACAAAAAACCCGGCCCACAAAAATATGAAATATAGACATTGGAAAATTATTACTGGTATTTTAATTCTACACCCCTCAAAAAAGAATAACCCAGCAACATGTGAGTATAAAAAACAAGTCTTCTAGAGCCACAAGTACTAAGAAACATTGAACTAAAAAAAATGGATTTTTATCTAAGCAAATACTATGTCCAGCACGACAAAGTCGTCTATGTTATACCGCTAGTGTTGTAATGCGTTAGCCATAAATTTATTGAAAACTATTCAAAATTAAGCTCAAACGTGTTATTTTTTTCTATTATTATTGATATTTAAATAAAACAAAAGGTTAGAAATATAAAACTATAATTAGCTACATGAATTTAAAAAAAAATAACAAATTATCTTCGCATAATAAATCTAATATCTCAACTCTGGCGCATCCTTAGCGCGACATCGAAAATCAGTTCACTGGGCGCCGTGGTCAAGTATAGACGACACACTGATGACGTCATAAGCGATTAGCGGGAAAATTAGTGCAGTGCAACATGAACGATTCCTCAGAACTCATTCGGATTTTGGAAAGCGTCGACGATGATGAATTTTCGGAAATTTAAAATTATCGTGAAACCAAAGTTTTTCGTTTTCGATTAACTCTACCTCAATGAGGTAGGAATACACTTTATAGTCTTTTTACGGTTAATTTCTTTTTTATAGCATAGGGTAATAAACGAGCACACAGTCCACCTGATGGCAAGTGGTTGCTGTGGCCCATAGACATTTACATCTATCCTCGATTACGAATCAAAATGCAGATGCGCTCTCACCCGTGAGGACTTAGATGGAATGCCTCGTTTCCAGTAAAGAGGGTCTCCGGTTCTCTACACTTACCATACGAAACACAGCAGCATTAAGCTACTATTTGATGCCGATATTCCGTGAGAGCGTGGTTCTTCCCCGGTTGAGCCGACCCATTCGTGCTACAACTACTAACTCCCGTAATATAACTGCAGCATGGCTCTACCACGTTAGAAAATTTGCTTTGGCCAGCTAAACATTTATGTTTTATTATTCCATAAGATTTTTATTATTTTAAGACTAATATTACCTATAATTTATTAATTATTTTTAATTGTTGTTTTCCATATTAAGTACTGATTGAGTTAAAGACCAAGATTTTAATATTTTATGACTAGACCTAGTGCAAATAATTATTTACAATTGTTGAATAATTATGTACCCTTTGTTGATTTCTGTAATAAGTACTGATTTTTTTTATTCCATGACCAAGATTTTAAAATTATAAGACTGATTTTTCTAGTGCGAATAATTACCTATATACAGTTGTTGATTAGTGAATAATTACGTACCTTTTCTATTTTAATAATATAAAATTACAAATATTTATTATTTGTTTCTGTTGTGTTTTCTTTACTTAAGGTATGAAGAGCAATTTTCATTTTGTGTTGTGCGATTTTCTTTCTCAATCTCAAAATCATTTAGCAACATCAGTATCATGTGAAACCCCCTTTATCATAAGAGCGTAAGACTTTTCTTCTGTGATTCACTTGGCCTACGCCTTGCCATAAAATATTTTGAATAGATGTCTGTATATTTTGGTTACATCGATTTTGAAATCGATACACAACGTGCGACACGGCTACATCTCTAAGAAAGTTTCAAAAAGAAAGGTCAGCTACGCCGTTGTCGTCCAGTCGTGACAGTGACGTCATCACGACGGAGAGTAGTGTTGTGGTTTACTACTATTTTATTGTTATTGTTTGTTTTTTATTTATGTACAAAGTACATATATAAAAAAGAGTGGAAGACAGCACAAGATTAAATAAAACATACCCGATTATAAAGACTCATTTATTGTATAAAAAACCAACAAAAACAAGTTATTTTGTGTTATCGATATATCAACTCTTGGCAGCACTGTTTTTTTCGTAGGTATTTTTGTTTACTTTTCGCTTTGGCGTACAGGACACGGTAGTGAGTTTTTGGCGTGGCGCTCAAAAGGTTAAATGGTTTGAGTGCGACTCTGAGGCTTTGAAGAAGTTCTCAGAGAGTTTTTGGAGAAATTGTTGAATTGTGGGGAGCTCTAGGTCCCGATGAAGGTCAGCATTACGGACGTACCAAGGTGCACAGAAAGTTCCATAGATTACTGTATATATACTAGAGAGAAAGTTCATTCTAAAAGTATTGTTTTGTTTTGAGGTTAGTTTTATGTTATTTATCAAATTTAACTGATATTTAAGGGACAAAGTGGCATAAAAACATGAGTAAAGCACACATCAGCGAATTTTGGACTTATTTTACAATATGTGATGCTGAAAATGTTAATTGCAAATTGTGTGATAAAAAGTACTCGCGCAAAGGCAGGACCACTAGTGCTATGAGAAATCACCTGGAAGCTAAATACAAAAATGAATATGAAGAATTGAAAAAAAGAGAACATGAAAAGCAATATGCTGCTAAAATTAATTCTTTGGCGTCCTCTTCGCGACAATGTACCAATGTCTTTGAGTGATTGCGTTCAAAAAAATAAAAAGTGGAATAACAACAACACCAAGTCTTTGGTGCTGGATAATTTAATTGGCGAAATGATCGCACTGAAGGACTTACCATTTAGTTTTGTGGAATGTCTTGGATTTGTGAGATTGATTAACCAAGTATGCCCTTCATATAATTTAAAATGTCGGCAATATTTTACTTCCTTCATTTGTGAGAAATTATACGGCAAGGTAAAAGATAAAATTCTGGAATTAATCAAATCATTTGAAAAATTAGCATTAACAACTGATATCTGGTCTGACTCTTGCTCTGGAGTGTCGCTGAAGTTTCACTTGTCACGGAATTACCAATAATTTTGAACTAAAAATGATTGTATTGAAAGCAGAAGTATTCAATGATGGGCGACATACAGGAGAAAATATAGCGGCAAAGTTAGAAACTATGTTGTCATCATGGGGAATTCCCAAAGAAAACGTATTATGTATTGTTAGAGATGGTGGATAAGATAAGAGGCGTGGTAGCTCAATGGTTAACGCTCGCTGTAAATATAACGGAACGCGAGTAACCCGGGTTCGATCCCCGCCGGCACCAATGAAATTGTTAATTGCAATTTTAAGTGCTGATTTACCACGTGCTCGGCGGTGAAGGAAAACATCGTGAGGAAACTTGCATGTCTGAGGAATAAGGAAAAAAAATATTTCGAAGACATGTGAAGTTCGTCAACACGCATTTGGGCAGCGCGGCGGACACTTCCTTGCCCTAAACCCTCTCAGAAATGAGGGGAGGCCTGAGCCCAGCAGTGGGACGTATATAGGCTGTAACTTGACTTTACTTTACTTTTACTAGAGATGGTGGCACTAACATGAAAAAAGGTATTTCTTTATTAAGTATTAAAAACATTGATTGTTTATCGCAGCAAATCCAACTTGTTTTAAAGAAGGGCTTAAGTCACAAGAATCGATCATTGCAGCCATTAACAAATGTAAAAAGATAGCAACACATTTTCACCACTCTAATGTAGCTCAAGATGAACTTGTTAATCTACAAGAAAAGCTTAATCAACCAAAGCTCAAGATAATCCAAGAGTGTGTTACGAGGTGCAATAGCACCTTTTACATGCTAGAACGCATTTTGAAAAACAAAGATTCGCTGTGCCTTTATGCTTCCACCAGCAACAAAATTTCACAACTAACTTCAGAAGAATGGATACTTGTGGAAAAATTGATTACATTGCTTCAACCTTTTGAAGAAATAACTCGAGAACTAAGTGCAGCCAATGTTTCCATATCATCTGTGATTCTGTTATTGGCCACTCTGGAAAAGGTGATTGATGAATATAATGCATTCTGTTAGGAACACTATACTTGTTTTAAAACAAGAAATGAGACACAGATTTTCTCACTTAGAAAACGACATATTATTTGCTACAGCAACTTTTATTGATCCTAGATACAAAACGAAATTCTTCAAAAATCCTTCAACAGAAGATCAAGTCATGAAAAATATTTTAGGTTCACTTGGAGATGAGGACTTAAGTTTGCAGTCATGTTCAAAGCAAAGCGTCCTAAAATAAGGAATCAGGATAATGAAAACTTGGGCTCCAGTACCAGTCTTTTAGAAAAGTTTTTGACATTAAAAGAAACTATGAAAATGATGATGGACTCAAGTGAAAGCGAGGAAGAACTAGATAATGATATTCCAAATCCATTAGAAGTATTAATAAAAATAAAATATTAATGAATATGTTTTGGATAAACGTATTGAAAATGAAGAAGACCCACTTCTTTGGTGGAAAGTAAATAGCAACAAATATGGCATTCTTTCTCCAGTAGCCAAAGAATATTTGGTAACTCCACCCACAAGTGTCCCCAGTGAAAGAGTTTTCACTGGAGCTGGACTACTTTACACACCTCACCGAAACAGGCTGCACGGAGAAAGAGCCTCCAAACTTTTATTTTTAAAATTTAATATTCCATTGCTTCAATTTAATTATTAAGAATTAAAAATTACAACAAATTTAATAATTAAATAGTCAACATGTTATTAGAAAAAATATATTTTGTGTACCTTCTTACTTACTTTATATCATTATTTTTATACATAGATAAATAACTTGCGATTGAAACCAAATGTTAACATAACAAGTAGTTTAGAAGTTTAGTTTAAAATAGAAATAATTATAAATTTGTTTTTGAAAAAAAGGTTTATTTACAAATAGTTAAGTATTCCTTGTTTTGTTTTTTAAGTTTATATTTCATTCATTATAAATATATTTAATTCCTCAGATATATAAAGTGGAACGAAAAAATATATATTTAAAGCCAAAGGTTATAAATACTTAATACATTAGATATTTAAAGTTTAAGGACGCGTTTTCAAATCAACCAAAATTAGGGTGTTTTTCGGTACATTTTGTGACAAAACTAAACCAAATCAAATATGGTTGTTATGGTTCTTCATCTGCAAACATCTGTAACTCTTTTTGTTGAAAATAGTAGTTTTTTATATTGTAAAAACGAACTTTCCTTGCCATTTTCTACAAAATTAACGATACCGGCTTGTGTTTCGGTACATGTTTTGGTCTATTATCAACATATTTAAAAAAATTAAAAAATACTATAAGATGACAGACATATTCAATTAAAAAACCCTGGGTTTATTTTTTAACAAAATGTCACAAATAGTCGTAAAAAAAAATAAAAACTGATGCACATTTTTTCACATATTTTGGTAATACGGATGAATCATAATCTATTGCAATAAGGGCTATTTTATTGTTGGTGCCTGCTTTGATTTATTGTACAAAGATTTCGATGAAACCACAGTCCGCGCTCGGCCGCCGTCGTGAGTGGACACTGTATCGCCTGTTTGCAGCGGCTCATTCTGAAAAGATCGCTGTACATACACAAAATATTAGAAAAAAAAACAAATTGGAAACATAAGTACTTGACAAGTGATAAAATGATTATTTTTATACTCACAGTTTTTTATTTAGCTAAAAATAAGTAGAATATATAAACTTACCTACTACTGCAACTCCTGGACGAGCGGAACTAGGTGTGCCGAGTTTGGGCTCGTTTTGTTGGTTAAGATGAGACCTTACCACCGGACTTGATTGACTGACCTGAAGGTGTACTTTCGTGACCGCTATTTGAACTTCTTGCAGAGTAAAACTAGGGGTGGCGAATTTGGGCTCCGTTTTGTTAGTTATGACGAATCCATACCTCTGGACTTGATGGAGTGACCTGAAGGTGTAAATCGGTGGTTGCAACTGGAACTCCTAGACTGGTAGAACTAGGTGTGCCGAGTTTGGGTTCGTTTTGTAGGTTATGATGAAACCTTACCACCGGACTTGATGGAGTGACCTGAAAGTGTAGTTCGGTGATTACAAGTGGAACTCCTAGACTTGTAGGACTAGGTGTGCCGAGTTTGGGTTCGTTTTGTTAGTTATGATGAGACCTTACCACCAGACTTGATAGAGTGACCTGAAGGGGTAATTCAGTAACTACTGCTGGAATTTCTGAACGAGTAGAACTAGGTGTGCCGAATTTGGGCTTCGTTTTGTTAGTTATGACGAGTCCATACCTCCGGACTTGATGGAGTGACCTGAAGGTGTAAATCGGTGATTGCAACTGGAACTCCTAGACTGGTAGAACTAGGTGTGCCGAGTTTGGGTTCGTTTTGTTAGTTACGATGAGACCTTACCACCGGACTTGATTGAGTGACCTGAAGGTGTAATCAGGTGGTTACAAATGGAACTCCTAGACTAGTAGAACTAGGTGTGACGAGTTTGGTTTCGTTTTGTTAGTTACGATAAGACCTTACTACCGGACTTGATGGAGTGAAATTCGGCACACCTAGTTCTACTGGTTCAGAAATTCCAGCAGTAGTTACTGAATTACCCCTTCAGGTCATTCCATCAAGTCTGGTGGTAAGGTCTCATCATAACTAACAAAACGAACCCAAACTCGGCACATCTAGTCCTACAAGTCTAGGAGTTCCACTTGTAATCACCGAACTACACCTTCAGGTCACTCCATCAAGTCCGGTGGTAAGGTCTCATCATAACCTACAAAACGAACCCAAACTCGGCACACCTAGTTCTACCAGTCTAGGAGTTCCAGTTGCAATCACCGATTTACACCTTCAGGTCACTCCATCAAGTCCGGAGGAATGGACTCGTCATAACTAACAAAACGGAGCCCAAATTCGGCACACCTAGTTCTACTCGTTCGGGCATTAAAGCAGTAGCTATTGAATTACCCCTTCAGGTCACTCCATCAAGTCTGGTGGTAAGGTCTCATCATAACTAACAAAACGAACCCAAACTCGGCACACCTAGTTATACCAGTCTAGGAGTTCCGGTTGCAATCACCGATTTACACCTTCAGGTCACTCCATCAAGTCCGGAGGTATGGACTCGTCATAACTAACAAAACGGAGCCCAAATTCGGCATACCTAGTTCTACTCGTTCAGAAATTCCAGCAGTAGTTACTGAATTACCCCTTCAGGTCACTCCATCAAGTCTGGTGGTAAGGTCTCATCATAACCTACAAAACGAACCCAAACTCGGCACACCTAGTTCTACTAGTCTAGGAGTTCCACTTGTAATCACCGAATTACACCTTCAGGTCACTCCATCAAGTCTGGTGGTAAGGTCTCATCATAACCAACAAAACAAACCCAAACTCGGCACACCCAGTTCCACTAGTCTAGGAGTTCCTGTTGTAATCACCAAATTACACCTTCAGGTCACTCCATCAAGTCCGCAGGTAGGTAAGGTCTTATTATAACTGACAAAACCAGTTCAAAGTCCAGAGCTAACATCTCACTACCAGTAGAGGGCTTCCAGTGCCAAGCAGTCTTTGGAGCAGGTATTCATATTTCGTATCGAAGTATATTTCTGAGGTAGGTATAAGAAATGAAAAACAGATTCAATCTTTCAAATTATCAAAATAATTTCATTTGACTACGATTCCCACAGCTAACCGTGCGTACACTAGTGTGTGTGTGACTTTTGTCAATGTAGTAGTGCGATTCTATACCTATACATTTTTTAAACGCGTCCTTAATAATTTTGTTTCAAGTAATTGTTTAGTTTTTTAGTAAATAGAAACTGTAAACTTTATTTAAAAATGGGTAGTAAAGTATATACTACTAAATAAATGCAAACCTTACATAGTTGTAACAAGGCTGATTAATGTTAGATTTGATCAGATCTCTGAAGTTCTTTTTTCATAAATGAGACTTTAATTTAGAATGTAGAAGTATGATTTAATAAAAATATCTAAGTGTTATCTATTGTATTATTATTTCACATGCATGCATATAATAATTTCCTTTTTGATTATTAAAAACATTCGCTAAATATTAGCATAATTTTTGCGAATGCGAATACGAATATTGAAAAATATGCGGATATTCGCGAATGCGAATATCCGTTACATCACACTGTCGACTCGACATATACACGAAAAGACAAATGTAGCCTTTTGAAGACTTATGACCTCGACCTTTTGATGTCCTTACTTGTATAGGGCCCGCATAATCCACACCACTGCTGGAGAATGTACGAGATGGAGTAACCCTCGGCGCAGTTAAATGTCCCACGAGCTGTTTTTTCGTTTTAGCTTGGTCTCTTATGCATGTTGTACAGTTTCGGATAATTCCTCTTACAGCTGACTTTAGGTTGATAGGTACGCAGAACTTGACGTCTTATAAAGACCATCGTTTGTAGAACGCCGTGTTTGTAGAATGCCGTGTAAGGTTTTTGCATGACCGTCGTTTATTATAAGTCTGGTAACATGTTGCTTTGCTGGGATAATAATTGGGTGCTTAGTATTCGTCGATAAATACTCTGCATTATTCAAACGACCTGCAACCCTCAACAAGCCATGCTCATCTAAGTAGGGCGTCAAATTGGCCAATGAGCTTCCACTTCGCACTCTTCCGTCCCTCTCCAAGCACTCTATCTCTTGTCTATAAATTTGTCCTTGATAAAATTTAATACATCTTGTTTCAATTAAATTCATTTCATCCACTGTTCAATAATTTTCCCTTTTCTGTTTGTTTGGCAATAACCTTCTGTAGTATGCTAAAACTCTTTTCCTTTTTGACAATGATGAAAATTTTTGCCAAATCGGTTCTCTTAATTTCGAATTCTGTATTCCTTTCCAAAATTTGAATTTGTTGAATTTCCAATGTTTTCTTTTCTATTTGTATTTGTTTAAGCCAGTCGGGGCCAGACCACCAAATATCTTGATTAGCCAAATCATACGCTTTAATTCCTCTTGTAGCTAGATCAGCCGAGTTGTCAGAAGATTGGACATAGTTCCAGTGATTGTTGTCTAAT